GGAAACAGTGGGGACGCACGTTCTAACCTAACCTAACCTATTCTAATAATATAATTGGTAATAATTATGATAATTTATCAGAATAGATTAGGTTAGGTTAGAACGTGCGTCCCCACTGTTTCCTTTTCTTTTTGCGGAATCAGAGATGAGCCGCCATGAGTCTACGTATATAGACGTTAACCCGCGCGTCGGTTTTCCCCGTTTATCGCGACGCAGCAGCCGCCGCCGTTCGCTCGCGTCGTCACGTGACACGTCGTCTCCAAAGCGGTCCGGTTTCGAGGCTAAAACAGGAAGAGCCGCCATGATGGTCTACGACCCTGAACATTAACCCTTAAATTATATATATTTGCTGTTTAAGTTTATCAAAGTGGGTATCTTTTCGGTATGGGAACGAATTAATTTGTTTTTCCTTATTTCTAATGGGAAATTGATTCGAACTTCTAACGGTTCAATAATATAATTTTTAAGAAAATCAGCCAAATAAAAAATTCGGCGACTTTTTGCGACATTGGATATCAGAACGCTTTTTGTGTTAGTACAATACCTGCAATGGCGTCGTTCCTAACAAAAGCGATTATGAACTTGTTGCAGCAATTGTATATTGGTAAATACGAGTAAATATGTTGGTTGTGTTTATTTTTTGTGTATTCAGTGTGCTATATTGAACAAAATGTTTATGCGGCCCGCACTCGTCATTCTCTCAGTTATCTGACCCGCTGTGAAAAATGTTTGGTGACCCATGATTTAGTCGAAACTTTACATAGGCCTCCATGTGTATTCCCGATGACAAAACAATTTTTTAGAGTTTGCAAATAATTTTGGCAATTAGCAAAAAATTAGAACTAAAGTAAATCTCATAACAGATGATACTCACTACACGTATCTCCATAAATTGTGAATTGCACTGTAAATCTTGCAAAAGCCAAACCTTTGTCCCTTTTTAGCCCGACTGTCTACATAAAACAAACCAGCAACGAGTTGCTCAACTTTCCCGATATTTAAAATTTTGGTGGCGTCATCTGTTATCATATTTTATTTTAAAAACTTTATATATTTTTTACTGTTATAATATGGCAAAAAGCTTAATTTTGAGGGTAGGGACGAATTTTATAAAATAAAAATTGTAAATGCTAATAACCAGTAAAATCGTCATTAAGTCCCAACCTACCAGAGACAAACACGACTCCCATTAGCTCCCCACCCTTCGACTTTTAACCACCAAAATTTAATAACATCAATCCCCCAATAAAGAAACCTCCCTGCAAAATTGGTTTCCCATCAACGCTCCACGCCTTTATGTTTGGTCCCGTAATACGAAGAACACTGAAAGATGAAACAAAAGAAGTACTGTATTGTTTATTGTTTAGCGCATTTATGCGAATAAAAAGCGGTTTTTTAAAAATATTTTTTTAATTTCTCTAGTCTGTTTATGGGAAGAAACGACTTAAGAGGAACGTCACTCGTGACGTTGCTTCAGTTAAACCATTCGGCACATTCTCTAATGACGTCAACACTTTCCGCTTAATGTCAGGCAATGTATGAATTTATTTTATTTTCTCTCACTAGATGGCAGAACGACTTTTCCGCTAGCTGTGTTAATTTTTTATAGCGTGCGTTAACTGTAAAGAATCGTGCATTTAACAATTACTATAGCGAGCTTCCTCGTATTACAATGCCAGAACGGAAAGCTCCGTAACACTTTTTATAATAGAGGTAACATGTTTAATTAACATGTAAACGAAGAAGAAAACGGAAGTAAGTCGACACTACTAAGTTATTGATGGCAGATGCTCATACAAGAGTCTAGCACGAGCCAACATTAGTTCTAAACTATGCCGCTAAGGCCAACAGCGCCAATGGCGGGAACTAGATTTGTGTCAGATTAAGGTCATTGTTACAAATTACGAATGTTTTAATTGTAATTTGTATTAGTTAAAAATGAAAATAAGTTAAATTTTTAATTATACCCCGAGTTACGTAAGTAATGCGGACAGTAGACCTTTACCTAAGTCGCGTATTACGTAACTCGGAGTATTACTCTACTTATCAACGAACGAGTTTTTTCATACTCAACGTCAGTCTTTTCGCCGGATCCGAATAGTAAAATTCGAATAATAAATACTGTACGGTACAGATAATTTTAATACCATCAAATTCCAAATATAAATTACACAAGTTTACAATTCAAATATACATTTAACATTATTCATTAGCTTCCCGGAAAATAGTTTTTATATAAATATGTAATATCGTATCTCGCCGAAGTGTGATAATATTTTATATTTGTGCTATTTACCCGAACACAAATTACATTTAAATAATTTTATATGTTTATCGTTGCCGGCTTTAATATATCTGTTTAAGCTTTGCTTATGATTATATTTCAAATTAAACTAGCCGCATTCCATTTTATACGACGGACAACCCACTGTATATTAGCAAAATATTTTGTCACCGCCAACCGAAATCGAAACCGACACAAATCCAGTTCACACCACTGGCGCCGTGGTGTCATAATTTAAAACTAATGTTTTGTCGGGGGCTAGACGCTTGTAGGGATCGCACCAGTAAGAACTTTCATCGCTGTTCGAAGCTTCATTCTTTGTTTAAAGTAAAGTTCCTATATTAATGTGTTTTTATAATTATTCTCTAAATTTTGTTACCTCTTAAAGTTTATCTTGTTTCAGTAATCATTAAAGCTGAAAAAAGTTTTTCATTTCGTTATATGAACGAAAAATCGCTTTCCCCATTCTCTCCTCTGTCTTTCCGATAGTGGAAAGCGGAAAGGGAGGATGGAGACCAGCTAAACTTTGCGTTTCGGCCGACGACGAACACGAAATCAATTAAAGAAAGAAGTTACTTTACCTTCGATGATGACTTTGAGATCGTCCGGATGAGACAGATATTTAGGATCGATGACGGGAGGATCGTAAGGATTGGTCGATTTCAATTTAACAAATCCTCTGCTCTTGGGTCGTAGCAGAATGGGAAAAGCCGAAAAACTCTCTCTGTACAAATAAGGCAAGTAAAACTTCTTCCACACCTGCGAAGAGAACTTTGTTGAAAAGACCTCTTTGCCTAGAGCGCCGGCAGGATCTACTTTGTTTTTTCCCAGGCACCCGCTAACTCCTTAAAGACTTTTACGCTCGTACGCCTTCCTTTTTTCGCTATCGAGCTCGGCGCAAACTGGTCGATGCCGTGGTTTTCGACAGATTTCCGTGGCCCAGTCAGCATCGACCATCTAGCCGCGTAGAAGTTGGCGATATCGCTGGAGACGTAAATCTAAAAAACCTATAAACGTTTCTCGAACCGCCTTAAAACTATGGCCGGGGCGAGCGTGTCGACAAAATGACGAAAATCGGCGGTTACACTACATATAGTTTCGCGCTACCGCTTGATGCGAGTGTTTTTATCGTCCAATAGACTAATTATTTAATAAGCGTTATAAATTAATGAAAATAATTATAAAAATATATAAACATATAAAAACTGCTGACGGAACGAAGGCTTTCTCGACGTAAAGTCGTCAAAACGTCGCCATCTTAATCGCGCTGTAATTTTTAATCCGGGTCGACATTTCCTGTTTATAAGGGTCACGGACGAGAACTTTTCCGATGACGATAAATCATCTGTATAAATCGAACGATTCCTGGAAACCAAAGAAGGCTTCGGCTAACTTTGGCCTTCATCCGGCATCCACTCCGAAGTGTGAACGGCGGGAATAAGCGGGAAGACAACGTAAACTGACTTTCGCCACGGGCAGATTTTATTCGTTTTCGAACGTTCGAACGGCCGAAACGGTGGGAAAATTAGGGCTAAGCTATCCTAACCGGCGACAAATACGTTATTAGCTAAGGGAAAGACGGAGATTTCACTTTTATTTTCCTGTCTTCATTTTCGAATGTAAAATGTATTTACGTTATTTAAAACGACCGAGCGAAGCACCGTGGGGAGCGAGACGGCGCGTACCTACCTTTTCGTTAAGGCCCATCACCCTCTTAATGGTCAGACCTCCGTCGGAAGAAGGGCTGCTGGACACGAAGTGGATTTCGATGTCGGGCCAATCTGCCGATTTGTTGGCGTAAGGAGTGTCGACGAATGCCAAACCTTCGACTCCGCCCAGCATGGTCAGCATACCTGCGGAAAATGGTTTTCGAGTATCACCGTTACGTTCTCAAACCAATTCGAACAAAAAGGGAAAAGCCACGCGCAGCGCGGACAAGCGGCTACAAGTTCCGTGCGCGTGAGAAATGACTCCGTACGCAAAACCATTTTTGGCACCGGTCCGAAAAGCGAGACGTCGATCCCTTTTTGGCTGCCGGTGTCTAGTGCAGAAATTGGATTTGCCGGCGGACGAAAAGTAGCCTCATTCGTGCTGATTCTTGGGACCTCCCGACGTGAGGATTCGCGATAAAGTTAACTTTTCCAAAAAATAAATAAAAGCGCAGACGATGTTCGACGGCGAATAACAGAACGGGTTTAACAAATGCTCCTTCTTTGTTCCGCGCAGCAATCGAACTTTAAAAAGTTCGACTTAAGACGTATAATTAAAGTACGGATCGGCTCTCGACTTAAGTCCTGCGGAAATAAGGAGCCTCGACTGTTACGCGGATTGAGCGTGCAAATTACTAGTTTAGTGTTTGAAAAATACCATTTTACGGAGCAAATTTCGTCGTGGAGGGCAAAAAGTAAAAGGAGGAGGAACGATCGGTCCCAATCTCCATTGCGTTTGCCAAGAAAAAGAAGAGGGAGAGGAAATTCGTCGTTTGTAGCGGTAAAGAGTTCCGATAAAAGAAAGATTTTTTTCCGGGACTCACCTTTGCGTTGTTTGAGGAATTCGTTGAGATGATCCTTTTCCATAATTCTGGTTCTGACTACCGAATACGGAGCGTCGATGGTAAAGTGGATGCCCGATGCTCCGATGTGGTCCTGTAAGTTGTATCCCACCAGCAGATCGGCCAAAACGGGAATCTGCAATGGCGGGAGTAGATCGTTATTTTCGGAAGAAAACCCAAGATTAGGGGTTACTTTCAGGAAATTTCCTTTTCAACCCGGCGATAATATCGAAAAGACAATTTTACTTTTAGGCGATCCAGGTCACGACGGGGTCCGATACCCGACAGCATCAGCAGTTGAGGTGTGTTAATGGCTCCGGCGGACAGGATGATCTCGTTTTCGGCTAGTATCACGTGATTCATGCCGTGATGATCCACTTGCACCGCTCTGGCTCTCTTCCTACTGTCGAAAAGTACCTGATCGAACACCACTATCTATAATTATCCATCGTCTTTCTGTATTTTCGTATTTGATTATTACCTTGGTGACGAAAGCCGAGGTGACGATATGTAAATTACTCCTGTTTCTGGCGGGAAGTAAGAACGCCTTGGCGGTGCTACAGCGCGATCCGTTCCTCACCGTTCCCTGAGGCATTACAAATCCTGAAAATTTGCAAACTGGCTTAGAAAGCGAACGTACCCGATTTTTTCTTCGTCCACCGTATAAGCTATATAGCCTACGGCAGGATGGCCAAACTTTTTGAGCCCGCGTGCCATATAGTAAGCCTACTTAGCTTTAAAGATGTTTACGCGTGCCAAAATTTTAGACTTCGAATAACGATATTTAAAGAAATTAAACAAATATGCTTTAATTAGAATAAACGTAAAAAAGCCGATTGAAAAAAAAAACGGCGTTCGGGTAATAAGCCGAAAGGATGATTGAAAATCACACAATAAATCGAAATAGTACAATACGTCACGTGCCAGGCGATTTCTCCTTACTTGCCACAGGTCGGCCACCCCTGTATACCCCGATACAGAGTATCGGGTACTGTTGGTACCTCTTTACTTAGATCCGCGAGAACGGTCGTCGGAAAGAACGAGTTGATCCGATCGATAGAATAAGGCGATCGGCTATTTAAACCATTCCTCGGCCCACCAACATCCGAGTGGCGAAAACCGTCGAAGACCTGTAGTTGGCCGGCCAACGAGCCATCCACGAGGCATTTTTCGGGGTTTCTTCACCATGATAATGCGTAATAATTAAACAGGAGCCAGTTTCCCATAGTAATTCCTTCCGGGAGGCATCCTGCATCCCGGAAGACAGTCCAGACATCGCGATGCGGTACGCAAACAAACACTTTAACCTTTCGGCCACCGGTGGGCTCGAAAGAAACGACGATCGATTTTACAATACAGTATGTAACCGAGGAAGAAAGGAAATCGAACTTTTACCGATAAGCTGGCAATTCTTTCCAGCGATCTACGAAGCGTTTACTATTTTTGGTCTTGGATTTTTCTAACAAGTTTAAATTAAAAACCGCATTTTACAACGAACTAAGCTTAAGTCGTCCAAAATGCCGAACGGAAGTAAAGAAAAATCGGAAAAATCTTTCCACATTGGCCGTTGTAATTTAGACCGCAATAGAAAATTGTTCTTCGTATGGCTTTTAGTTACAGGCAGTCCATTGCAAATATTAGCCCAAAACGTATGCAAAAAACAACCAATTAAATTCTCCTACATAAAAACAAACGCATTAGATACGGGGGAAAAGCTCTCCTCACTCTGGCGATAGAAGTTGGCTCACAGAATAAATATTAAGCTTGCTTCTAAAATTGGAAAATTTAAACCGAATACAAAAAGACTGGTTATCTGCGAGTTGTTTAATTTTGAAGATAAATTAAGTTTATAAAAATACTAGTCATTTAAAAGGTTGAAATATATTCATTAACGTCGATTGTTCGACGAATACCAGAGCCTTTACAAAAAATTAAAGCTCTATGGTAAAGGAGCCAAGAACGTTAAATTGCGATACAATGGATTAATTATAGATATTTGTCTGTAATTACAAGGCTAAAATTTTCCAGACAGACGGAGAACATTTTTTTTGGAATATAATATATAATGGTAAGCAACGTGATAGCAAGGATGGCCATTATGAAGTCTTGTATTTAGATACAGATGATAATATATTTAAATTTCTTAAATTACTAGTATTTTTATAAACTTAATTTATCTTCAAAATTAAACAACTCACAGATAACCAGTCTTTTTGTATTCAGTTTAAATTTTCCAATTATAGAAGTACGCGTAATATTCATATCTGTAAACTTTTAAGTTACCGTTAAAATGTTTTTGACTCTTAAATAAATAGTCGTCCATTTTATCGTCATTCTCTAAGCCCGAAATTACATTATTATGCCTTCTTTCTTTTACCTTTTACCACCTTTGTAGATCCAATCGCAAATGTCGGTCAAGCGTCACTTTATTATTTCTATTAACGTGCAAAATTTCGGTCGAGTCGTCACCGGGTCAAAAGTTTTGCTCCCGGTTAAGATTCGACTCGGTTTGCCGGGGGAAAGGCAAAAAGTCAGACTCACCTTTCTGAGTGGGTCCGTTGGGGTCCGTCTCCGGGTATCCCAGTTCCTCCCCGGCAGCCACGAAGGCCCGGGACAGGGGCGATAGGTAAGGCGGTCGAGAGACGGTCAGTTCTCCTCCCGCCCGATGATAGCCTGAAAGGGGTGAGCCTGGTTAATAAGGTACGGTTACCGCGGACCCGACTTTTTCCTATCTTCGGGCTCCTTCCGCTTCGCCGGCCTCCCATGGAGGGCGGGAAGGGCGGACGACCCACTTCCGGTAAAGAAACGTCCTTACCAAAGGCGGAAGAGTCTTATAAAGTCGGTCGGCCTTACGAAAGGCCCGACCGACTTTATAAGGCCTAACCGACGCACAGTGTAAGATTTCGCAAATCCACCGGGACAAAATTATATTAAGAATGGAATAATTTAATTGTAATCAAAATATATCTACAATAATTAGAATAAATCTTAAAATATAAAAGAAACGTAATTTTATACATTACTTACTATCACAACTACAGTCTTCCATTGTCAGAATCGGTAGCCTCACTACAAAGACTATCGTTTTCTCGTGTGTTTGTTGCCTTTTTTTTTTTTTTTTTTTTTTTTTGATATTTTGCAGCCTGTATTGGCTTCGTTACCTCGGAATTAATAACCACTCTAGTATATTTTTCTTATTTTCTTCTTGTACAGGACATCCAATCTATACCCAATACATTCTATCAAGCTTATTTATACACGTAGTCTAAATAAACCCCAAGAAAATATCCGAACATCACTATTACGTCGTCGAACCATTTTAAATTATTCGTATTTTTCGATGTTGCTTGGCAAACGTAGTATTTTCGGGTTACCTTATTTCGTCATCATATCCTATCCTCATTTTTCGACATTTCGTATAATTCTTGTCTCGACACTTTCGTAACTCTTATTATCTTGCAAAAACGCATTTTATTGCATTCAAAATTTCATTGTACAAGGTTTATAGATCTTAGAGATTATTTTAAAAAATGCACATTTCGATGTACAAACTTGTACAAAATTTTTGGCAGTCCGTTACAATCGTTAAATGTAATTAATTTCCGATTAACTTGCCAATATAGAGAGGAGGTATTTTGTTAGAAATGTAAAGGTTGGAGAAATCATTTACAAATTTAAGTTTAAACTACGTACCCCGATGTAAACGTACCACAGCGATTGGATGAAATACCTACAAAAGATTTAATTTCGCAACCGAACATTAAAAGCGACCGTCACAGTTGCGGCGCTCTCTTCGACTAATCCAGTCAAAAGTGCTTTTTGAACGGTGATTAACAATACAAGCGGGCCTTATCGCTTTACAGTTTTTTGTAGATGGTGTTTGTTTATTGGCTTTGGTTTTAAAACGTTATAAGGGAATATTTGCATGTTATTTTTATGACTTTTGTCTTGCCAGATTGGCAAAATCTTACATTGTGCCACGCTAGGGTGGAGGCGGAGTCCGGAGCCCGGAGCACTTTCCGTTTCTTTCCTTGACAAGTTTTCACCCCGTCCAAAACTAAAGGCAGTAATTGGCCTCCCTCCACTATTCCGGAGTTCTTCCGCCCCGCTGCTGACGGGAGTGCCTCCTTTACCTCCCCCCTCCACCCACTTAACGTATTAAATAACTTACCGTACACCTAAGCAGGAAGACCTCCCAACCCTGGAGGGTTTTTTGACAGTTGGACAGCGCCCGGGGCTCCTGGCGGCGGGGCGACTTACGGCCTTCCGTAGCGCGCACGGCGCCGCGGGAAATTTCGGATTTCTTTCCGCCAGTGGTCCCGGCAGTTCCGGATGACGGTCGCTTCATAAATCGACTCTTCGATTCGCCGCGGCCGCAAATTTTTAGTTACGGCCGCCGTCGGAAAAGGCGAGGATTCCGGTCTGGCAGAGTCCCATCTCCCGATTGGTGGCTCCTCTGCTGCGGACGGAGTGGGACCGTCGAAATTCCGAGTAAATAGAATGAGACTTTAATCGATCGGCGTTAATTATTTTACGACCGACGGTTTCTTCGTTAACCGGAAACGCGGCGGCGGATCAACTGTCTATAACCCGGGTAAGAGGCCCCCTCGATTCCTACCGTTTCGCAGTATGTCGGCGTCTCTGTTGTCCTCCGACTTGAGGAAGTAGGGAAAGACGTCGTTCCAGCTCCATCCGTCGCATCCCGCCGCCTGCCATCGGTCGTAGTCGTTCCTGTTGCCTCGAATGTACAACATATAATTGAGAATGCTGCTGCCTCCCAGCACTTTGCCCCGGGGCATCCGACATCTCTGAAAGGCCAGCACTTCGGTCGTCAATGATCAGACAATCTTCGTGTCCGAGCGATATAAAAGCGTCTACTTACCCCCTGGGTCATGCCGTAGCAGGCATTCTTCTGTTTGCTGGTCCGATACCTCCAGTCGTATTTGGTCAGCTGCAGTTCCGCCGCGAACAGGGGAATCTCACTGACATAGTTGGGCGCCTCTCCCGCCTCCAGTAACAGAACTTTAATGGACGGATCTCGAGACAGACGATTTGCCAAGGTGGCTCCGGCCGATCCCGCTCCCACTGCAATAAATTTATCAATGATTATTCCACGTTTACCTTAAATTTTCCTTCGCCGGCAACGGGTGGGACTCGGCACGTTTCCGGTCCTTAAGGTAATAATACCCTTATAATTCCGTACGTCTGTCGATCGAGCACACGGAAGTATTTCGTTAAAATGGCTCCATCGTCGAAGAAGGGTATTATTTGTAAAAAGTACAATTAATTTTTGCGACGATTAAAAAATGCTGCAATAATTCCTGTAATTTAGCAGACGGTTTAAGAGGTAAATGTTCTTCCTTATTCGCAACCCCACGGCCGCAAAATTTAGTAACGGATACCCATTTATCTATCGAGGTAAAGTGCAGTATTTACGAAATACGCAAATATCGCACTTGTATTAATGTCATATTTTAAATTTAAATTTGATATTTTACATTTAAAGTTTATTTACGTTCGAATTCTACATTTGATTAGGAGTCAGGACAGTCACTCCCCGCCAAGTAAAAAAGTCACCGACCGACTGCATATACGGGAATCGGAGTTGACGATTTTCGTGGTTCGATTTCTCCGCCCTAAACACCCGAAGTAATTCCGAATATTTCGTTCGAAAGAAAATTGTTTTCTTAGGTAATGTGCAAAATTTCAAGATTTTCTATAAAGCGGTTGCCGAAATACAAGCGATCGAAAAGTGTAAAAATTGCCAAAATGCTGTATTTTCTTTTTTCTTTATCAGGCACTACAGGCGCTGGTAGATAAAAACTACTGGGCCTAGAATCCTTCTTGGCGCTGGGAAATGGTACCCACAAGATTTTTACCTGTATTATGGTTGAAACCGAGACCCACAGGTTGAAAAACACTGATTTAGACGACGGTTAAAATGTTTCTTAGAACTTTTCCTTTAGTAAAAATTAGATTGGCGCTCTTCGCCTCCGAGCGCCAAGCTAATTTTTACTAAAGGAAAAGTTCTAAGAAACATTTTAACCGTCGTCTAAATCAGTGTTTTTCAACCTGTGGGTCGCGACCCCAGGGAGGTCGCAAAGTCTTACACGGGGGTCGCGGGTAAAAGAAAAAGACAAGCGTTTGTAGGTCCTACACTACAATAAAAAAAAAACTAAAATTTCAGTGAGAAGGCTGTACCTGTTTATTTTACAGTACAATTGGTTTTTCGATCGATATTTAGGTCTTAACAGAAATAAAATTAAATACGTAGTTTTTAAAATCACTGATATAGTTTTAATATGGCCCTGGAGGGGTCGCCAGAAGTTTTTAACTTGTAAAGGGGTCGTGTATTCAAGAAGGTTGAAAAACACTGGTCTAAATTGTCATTGATTTTTACTTAACGTAATTTTCTACGTTTCGAATGTTTTTGTTTAGATCATTCTTACAATAAATACAGTAATCTGATCATTTATATATATATAGATATTTTAGTTTACAGATCTGTGCGTTCGTAAATCCAAAAATGCCAAAAGTTTCGGCACTAAAGATTTGATGGATGGGCTGGCGTCGTCCAGTGTGCAAAACCTCGACGTTACGAAATATTTTTTTCATTTACTTGGCAGCAAACCTAACCTTATTTCACATTATTTAAATTATCAAAATCCAATTAAAAGATACGATAATTCCTATACTACTTAACACCGGACTTTAAATGTAGGCTAAATGACATTAATTCAACATTATGAAATTCTATTCCGTGTAAATTTCGATTGTATGAACTTTCGGAGAAATGTTTTGTAGTGGTTTCTTCGAAATTACTCTACTTTGACATTTATTTTATAAGCGATTTCGACCAGAAGGATTTATTCCAAGCCGAAATTCACGGGAAAATAACATTAATCGCACCCAGACAAAATTATTCGAAATGTTTCTGCCGAAATTTTATTTCTGCTAGTCTGAAAGAAGAAAAAAACTCCGAGTTTCTTAACTTTCCCGGCAACGTTTGGTGGCGTTATCTGTTATCATATTTTATTAAAAAGACTTTTTATATTTTAACTATTATAAAGCGACAAAAAGATTAATTTTGTAGGTAAGGATGGGTTTTATAAAGCATTATAAATCTAATAATCAGTAAAATCGTCATTAAGTTTAACCCTACTGGAGATACACACCATTTATTTCCCTACTCCTCGACTTTTAATCATCAAAATTTAATAGTATCAATCTCCCTAATAAACAAACCTCCCGGCAAAATTTCAGAAATTTTCGACAAAAATCACGGGAGTTATTAAGCTTCAAAGAGGGTGAACGAAATCGTGCCCCCACGCGAAAACATCAATACATACAGAAATTACCCCCGAATGTTTTTTGCATTTTTCTACTTCTCCAGGTGCCTCTGGGGGAGTCATTTTTTGACCGATGGACATACTTTCCCTTTGTTATATATAACAGTCGGGAAAGTAAAAAGAAATTGTCTTCTATTCATTAAAACTTGAACAGATGGTGCGATAGTAAACTGCAAACGTTCCGTCCCGATCGGATGGCGAAGTTACGAGAACACTGGTCTATCTATCTACATACCCTGGTAAAATTAACTTTGTAAGTTATTGCATGAAATGTAAAATAACGATACAAATTTAATTACGGAATATTTAACACGGAACGAAAAACCATTCTTAATTGACAAATTTCCCCTTTATAGTACTGTAATTAAAAATATAAAAGGTTTTTATAACAAAATCTGGTAACAGATGGCGCCACACACATTTTATTAAATTATATTGTAATTAAAATTATAACAGTTATTTTCCAAACAAGCTCTGGTAATAGCCCGTAATTTTTAAAAATTCCAGCGGAAAATTCCCGGACTTTTCGGAAATTATAAAAGTCGAAATTTCTCTTCGAAAAGGCGCGGAAGGACCACCGGTCGGCACAGCGATCCGAAACCCGAGAATGACGTCAGAAAAAAGGCGAAATACAGAGAACCCGCCATAAACCGATTAATGTTGTCCGTACCCGAAAGCGTGCGTTAGATTCCGCGACGACGGAGAATATGGAAGAAGTTTCAACTTCGACGACAATTCTAACGACACGGGTCCGACTTATTGATAATATTCTCCTTTCGGCATTAATCCGGGCAAAAATTAACGTTGTGGGCGAGCAAATTGCGCAAAACGAAAAACCGGAATTCTTTATTTATAATCGAAATTCACTCATTTCTTTATTTGGCTTTCGTTGGAAATTATATTTAAGTTTCGGGTGTTTCCCGCCGCTAAAAAAACTACGACGAAAATTTAAAATAAAATTTTCGTCCGGCGTCATAAGTTATAAATAGGCGAAGGCCCCGTTTTTCTCTTTCGTTTTCGTTTATTTGCAATTCGGTCCAAGACCCTGACGTAACGAACCCGGTCGGACCACCCGGGACAATTCTTAAAGGGGTTGGTTTCCTCGATGGGTGGCGGATTCGGCTGACATGTAAAAAAAGGTTACTTATTTTTTTAAAATCGCACAGAGACAATAAGAAATTACGTGACATTTTTCAAATTTCTCGTCGTATAAGCCTTCAGACGCGACGAATAATAAAGGTAATAGGCTAGTAATGCTAACGATAAAGTAATAAAATAATTTTGTTACGGGTGAAAAAAATCTAATACTGTCAAGGTCGAACATACACGACGTTGTTGCAGCGCTAGTCTTCTCGGCCATCGACATTTATAAGGTATATTTTTTGGAGGCCCTTTTTTTCTGAAAGGCCGAACACGCGGGTCGATATTCGAACCGGGAACCGTTTGCGTTTAGGGCCGGCCACGGAAAAGTTTCGTGGGAATCGGAGACCGCAACGTCCGGCCATCTCTCGGATAGTTGGGTCCGAGAAGGGCGTGAACCCCGGCATTTACGTCTCGACCCCTCCGTTAGCATTCGGTAATATATTTGCTTTTCACCGGGTTAGCGTCCCGGTTTTACCTTTGGTCGCGCGCCCGACCGAGTGCGGATGGAAAAACGTCGGCGGTCTGCAGCACGTCTTCGACTACCGGACGAATCTCCGTCGAAAAGTTCCACCTGCCGGGCGCCGTCGATTTTGGCGGTGTAAGAGCCGGGCGGCCCTAGAATCCGAAGAGGGGGAAATGCCCCCACGGCCTCCTCCGTTCTTCGTGGTAGTGGGACGCTCTTCTCAGGCGTGATAATAGTTTTTACCCCGCGCTACCGTCCGACGCAATTAGGGCCCGGAGCCAAAGCCGTCTGGCGGTAGTCTCGGCCGCCGAGAGAATTCCTCCATCTCCGATCGACTCTCGTCCTTCGAATAATGCACTTAATAAAGAAATGTGGCCAACCGACATCGATCCTGGCGACATTTCCTGCAAAGAATCTACTCGTCTACGAAAACTCCCGCGCTTCCCACCCTGGCCGGCTTCGGTCCTACGACATTATTTTGCGTTTTCCCCACTCGTTTTCCACCTCTGTCAGGGACCAGCGCGGCCGCTGGCCCCTCCTCGGCCTCTTCCTCCACTATGGCAACTTCTGCCGTCGTTTAAGCCGGGGAGAAACGACCGAAGACGGAGATCCGCCGACGAAACGGAACGGGGTCGGGCGGAGGCGTCGCGACTTTGACCCCCATCCCCGTTACCGGGCCACCCGGTCGAGTCCCCGTTTCTCTCTCGGGCTAATTCCCCGCCCGGCGCGCTCCCAGGAGGCCGAAAAGAGGCCCGTCCGCCCCGTCGGACCGTCCGAAAACGGATTACTGGCGCTCATGATCCTACCCATTCACCACCTATCCTATCTCTTTTTCCATTTCACCTTCACCCCTCTCCTAAACCTCTCTTTCCTTCCCATTTCACCCTCGAGCGATACCACTGAGTAGTCGCGAGCTTTCACCCCCTTTCCAGTAACGATGTAACGTCCGAAAAGGGACCGGAGGAAAGTGGCCCGGTCCCTCCGTCCGTCTTCCGCCGCGCTACGAAGGGACCGTCTCTCTTTCCGGCGGCGGGGAGGCGGGCCCCGGGCCGGACCTCCGAACCCGGGAGACCCGGCGACGGCGGGAAGCGCGTTTCCGTCGCGGGAGGACTCACCTACGACATAATGGTAGCGGGAGTCCATGGAACTTCTGACGGAGAAGTCCAGAAGGTCGTCCGTGCCGGGCAAGGTCAGCAGTCCCAACAGCGGCAGCGCCGCGTTCAGGAACCCGAAGAAGTCCGCCATTCGTTCCAATCCGCGTTTCTTCCTCGACTGAGCCTCCGGCCTCCCTTTCTGGGTCGACCCTCCCGCCGACGTCGGCGCGCCGCGTTTCGGCTCTGGCTCGGCGTCGGACTCGGGCCGAAAGACGGTTCAGCCGAATCCGATGGAGAAGAAAGGAACGCCGCGCCGGCTGGGGGAAAAGCCATGGAAGTGGAGGCCGCGGCTTGTGTCGGTCGACGATTCGGTAGTCCGAAGCGGCGTAATCGGAGCCTCCGAAGCCGAGGGGGCGGTCCGGTACAAAGAAAAGGGCCTCTTCGCTCGTCGGTAAAGTCACAGTGGACTCCACCTTTTCCCTTCTCAGCACCTCGGCCACTTCTTAAAAGGATTCGAATTCCCCGCCGAGAAAGTGGCGAAGACGTTTCCGCTCCCGCCCGTGTGTTCGACGGAACCGGCCGCCACCGGCAACGTAAATTTCTGGCGGTGGATTTCCCAGTAATTTCTGCTGTCGAAAATGTCGACGGCAGCAATTACTGGGCTCTCGAAACGCACTTTTTGCTCCTTTACGTCGGGACGAACCATTATTCCTGACTTCCCACCAGCGAAGTGGACTCGGTACGCCGACGGTCCGACTCCGACTCCCACGTTTCCCTTTTTACTTTCCCAGCCGTCGCGTATTATGCGGGTAAAGTATGGTCGCGGGCCGAAGAATGCCTCCCGGAGACTTTTACCTTTTTGAATTCGGGGGACCCGAAAACGTCGAGAAAGGCAACTTCGGGACTTTATTCGCCCCTGCGGGGAAGACATTTGTTGGCTGTTTCCCCGCTGGCGTGTTTTGTGGAAACCTTCCGAAAGTTTGCCGGGAGGGAGACGCGTAACAGCCATCCAGACAATTAAATATCGGTTGTTACGAGTGAAGGGACAGGTGATGCGTGCGGGTTAGACGTCATACACGGAGCGGGTGGCCACTTAACCAAGCATTTACCGGTTATTAGCGTTTACAATTTCTTTTATAAAACTCGTCTCCACCCTCGAAACCCAACTTTTGGTCGTCCTATAATAATTAATAACGTAGAAAGTGTTTAGACGAAAATATCATAACGGGTGGCGCCACCACAATTTTATGTTCTTTTGGCGAAAAAATTCGGCTGGCAACGCGTTGTGAGAATTTAATATTACGCGTAAAATAACGTAGAAATACGCCCGCCTGTGGGAAATAAGGACGCTCTACCATTACAAAAGCGCGGGGAGGGACGAGCTTCCGTCGGTTGCGGATCCGGGCCCGCCTTCCGACGCCGACGCCCTCCGGAAAAATTTTCTCCGACGGAAATTCGGTACCCCACGTGCCTAATTTCCGTCGTAGGAAATTTTTCCGGCGCGGCGGATGGAAAACGTTTCGGCCGAATGAGAAATCGGGAGGTATTTCGGGGGGAGAAAGGCGGAGGAGGACAACGAAGGTAAAGGGAGCGGGTAAAACGGTTTCTGGGTCGCCCGCGCTTAACTAGTTCTCGGGGAATTTCGAAAGACGCCGGTTTCTTAACCCGGTCGAATTGCGCAAAGATCGCCGGGCGGCCGCTCGCTCCTCGCGCTTGCCCGGGGCCGGAAATCGTCGGTGCTCCGGGAGGGGGTCCCGTCCCGGGCCCGGCTTCCCCCGACGAAATTTTCTTTTTCCCACCGGGACCATCGTCTCTTCTCCTCCTGCCCTCGGACTGTTAATCGTACAATTACTGCAAAGGCGGTCGACGGATCGGCCCACATTTTCGGCCAACGCCGGGAACCTTTACGCCGAGAACCCATAACGGGTGTGGGAGAGACGCTCCCGGCGTCGATTTCTTTCTTCGGTAGACTTAAAAAAGGTTGACGCCGTTACCCTTTCGCATTGACCAGGCGGGGTGGAGACAGAACTTTATTCTCCCGCTCCGATAATTCGTAAACTCATCGGAAAGCGCTGGAACGTCCGACCTCCCCCGAAAGTAAAACCGACGGTAAGGGAAAGGAACCCTCCCCTCTGAGGTTGGTGCCGAAAGAAAATTTGTAAGCGGCGAGCCTTCCTCGGATTCTGCACTTTTCCCTGTTTTTCCTCCGACGGAAATAAGACCTCAGGGCCAACCCCCGGCTCGGACGTCTTCCTCCGGAGTGGGTTTCGGCCGACCACGGGGCCGGGGCGGAAAATTAAAATGGGGAAGGAGTGGAAATTCGGGGAAAATCTGTCGTGAAAGAGGCGCCTTAAATAGAACCGGTGGGAAGCGCTCCGCCCGTTAATGTTGGTTTACTTCCGTTCCTAAGCGGGAAAATGTGCCGAGAAGATCCTCTTCCTTTGTCCGTCTACTTTAACGGCCGTCCACCCGTCGGCCGCTTTCTACTTTTTTTCGGAAACATTTGGAGACGACTTTGCCGCTTGAAAAACATTAAAAACGCGAAAGTAAAACATAAATTATTCTTTCCTTACCGGTCCCTTCCCGTCAATTATCGATGCAAATCGCAGGAGGATTATCCTATTCTCTCTGCCCGCTTATAAAACGATTTATGCCGTTTCTTAACCGTAAATAACAATAAAACGGTCGACTGTTTTATTATTTTCTTTATTCTTAATTTTATACCGGGCCGAAAAAAGCTGCCGCAGAGAAAACGGGCCCGAAAATTTTCCATTTTCTTTCCGTCACCGTTGGCATTTATAATTTTTATCGCGCCGTTAACAACTTTGTACGACAATTAAATGGCCAAGAATATTTAAAGAGAGTGAAACGGGGACGGGTGACGTAATTTAACGTGTGAAATTTATATAAACCAAGGTATAACGCCTTTTCTTCCGAAAGCGCTTTTTAAAGCAGAAAAGGGGTAAAGCCAATTACCTCCGGATGACGATTTTCGGCCGTTTACGTAAAAGACGACGGCCACCGAATCCAAACGCGTGTATTCTCGACGCGACTAGAAGCGGATAGTGGGAGATAAAGAACGTACAGTATGTACGGATAGGCCCGCTGCTATAGGGCAACGCTACCGGTGGCGGTGTGTACGCGGTCTCCGTAAGTACCTGCTTGTGTAACCGAAACGCGCCGGTGAAAGTAATTCTCTCGGCGCAATGGTTCCGGCGCGTTTCGTCTCGGAGTTGAGAAAACGTCGGAAGAAACAGAAGCCACCGTTTACACTATTCTTACGAGCGATCGACGGTGACTCCGGAATAACGGACGAGTCTACTTAACGGACATTTTTACAATCTCCAGATCCTTCAAATAGGAATATCTTATTTTTACTTCTAAATAGCGGACACTATAAATAACGGACGCCATCGTCCACAACAACCTTACGAAAACGTAAAGTCCCGCCTTCGATATTCCCAAAGAATTAATTACGTGCGAAATATTTTTAAACTAAAAGAATCGGTTCAAATACTCTTTCGGAGGACGAATTTCCACCATAGGCGTGGAATAAAGACACTAAAAATAGTATGGAAGAAAGGATGGTTATAAAAAGCCGAACAATACTCTTTATCTGTTAGAAAACACTAATCTCCTTAAGTTGTCAATCATCACTCATCGTCGTACACGTTAATTTTATTAAACTACTGTCTTATTGTTGGAATTATGCTTACAGTATCGAGAAACCATAAACTTTTCCCAAGTAATTCATTCGTCGGAAGAGTACCGTAGCACGGGAGCTACGAAAAAGAAACTTAAACGGTGCGACAACGGTGATAGAAGTTCAAAGGTCGTGTTACTAAGGCGATTTACCGATCACTTTAAACTGTGGAAATATATTCGGTATTCTGCCATTTATAACCTTAATAACTTTGTGATGGCTTAGGTGAAACTTTTTATAAATCATTCAGTGAAAAAAATAGGAAGAATGTTAGAAAAATTATACCTATTTCATAACTAAAAACAGACAAATCCCTATATCGATTTTTACTAGTCCCTTAAATCGTAAATGATATAAACACAAGAATACCGAACATATTTCCCAACCCTGGAAGCGACTAGGAAATCGCCTTGGTGACTGGACATTCGAACTCTGCCTAAACCCACCGACGTCCACCCTTCCGTTCATAACAAGTTCCATCGTTTTTTGACTTGTTAATAATTAATCAATGTACGAATATTTACGTTTTGTTGTAATTTTTGTGGGTCATTTAAAGTATCCCGTCCAGTCCGTTTCCTANGCGGTGTTTCGGTTAGTCTCCCGAAATTGGGTTTGGACATGTCTCTCTACAAAATTTACCTTGAATTTTCCTTGAATGACGTACCACTTCAGGAGAACCATACAGAAAATAAATGTTTTTTTAAGTGGGATTCCAACAATGCTGCCAAATAAAGTCGACAGTGTTTCACTGGCAAGAACATCATTGATTCATTTGCCTTTTCTATTTCTATCATTCCTTTAGGATTAGTTGCAAAAAAAATAAGAAAGAAATTATTATTATATGGCAAAATCCTTCACCTTTGTCAACAAAATATTGTTGTCCAATATAAATCATAATCAAAAGAAAAAATCAAGAGTTGGTAAAATTAAAATTGAAAAAGTTCAATCCTAAATAAATGACTTTGTCCCGTAAGAAGCAGAAAAAAAATATGATCATTTGTTCTTTCAAGCTACATTTAACAACAATGGACGAAATTTCCTTTTTTCTGGTCCAGGTTGTCTAATTTGTCACTTTGTTATGTCCGTAGGTGGTGCATAAAATGTGTTCCGAAACCTTTATCTGAAAGGGATGTACCAGACGTCAAACTTTCTCCGTTTGTGGGATGTTGTGATGAGTTAGCTATGTTGTTCGTTTGGTTGATGGTCTGCAAACTTTGTGACCTCGACTGACTAAATTTTTTTGTCCGTTGTTATTAAATGTAGCTTGAAAGAACAAATGATCTTTTTTTTTTTTTTTCTGCTTCATATGGAACAAAGTCATTTATTTAGGATTGAACTTTTTTAGTTTTACCAACTCTTGACTTTTTCTTTTGATAATGATTTATATTGGACAACAATATTTTGTTGACAAAGGTGAAAGATTTTGCCATATAATAATTTCTTTTTTATTTTTTTTGCAATTAATCCTAAAGGAATGATAGAAATAGAAAAGGCAAATGAATTGATGATGTTCTTGCCAGTGAAACACTGTCTACTTTATTTGGCAGCATTGTCGGAATCCCACTTAAAAAAACATTTTTCTGTATGGTTCTCCTGAAGTGGTATGTCATTTTAAACTTGTATGACTGTTTTTATAGTGTGATCAACGGAGACTGTTGCTTGACATATGATATCATATTTACTTGCATATAACATAAGATTTTTATCCATTTTTTACTGCTTCTATAACCTAGGTCATCCTATATGCAAGAGCAAAGGATTCTTTGCATTTTTGTATAATTTTTGTAAACTATGTATTTCCATATTTTACCAGATTCTTGCCTTCTGCTGTTTAAAAACAAAAGTATTTTATGTGGGTTGTTTGAATTGTTCTTGTGTATTGCCAGGAGTAAAGTTGAATAGCAATAGGAAAAGCAAAGCTTTTGAATTAATTCCAAATTGAAATTCCGAAATGATACAGAGCCCGATATAAGCTTTAATCCATTCCCACATGAAAACAGATGGTTATTTGGAAATTTGAAGAAACTCATAAGTGTAATCGATGAAGAGTTAATTTGACTGTTAAGAATTGGCGAAAAAGGTTCCAGATTATCTAGCTTTACATGAACAAATTGTTGTACATTTTACAAGACTTTACCAGTAAAGGTTGGTGGTGAAAATGGATCATTTGCAATCAGTAAATTATTGAAGGTGGCAAAGTCTGCCAATGCATCACCATGCTCATCTTGAGTTGTACCCCCCAAGTGGGGAAGTAGACATTAAAATCATCAACAATTAGGATCTGTGCATCCTTATTAAGATTGATGGTGGTCTGCAGAAATTGTAGAGAGGAATTAATGTCATCCATAATGGAGCTGTAGAAATTGAGAACTAACAACCTGAACCTAGGATAGTTTATTTCGAAACAGATCTGTTTGTCCGAACTCAGTTGAGGGTGAAATAGAATAGACAGTTCCTTGTTAGCAATGGCAGCAGCCACCCATAGGCGCTTATCAGTACATTGAAGGATTCCATAAGAGGTGCGCAAACAGGCAACTTTATTTTTGCAACAGTAAGGTTCTTGCACAAGAGCCAAATCATAAGTGTCAAGAATCTGATTGAGGTCAGACATGGCAACAATAGAGCGCTGCAGGTTAATTTGAACCAGATTAATAGAGATTGACTGAGAACTACTATTCATGTAGGTACTAATGTCCATAATCAGTCCTTTGAATGATTATATTCCGTGTGCGAATGTAAACTGGGCACTCATGACTCATGCAGTTGTGCGCTCTATCAGCAAATCTTTCTCTAGCACAATTAGAGCAAGAGGGTATTTGGTTTTGCTTAACACACTCTTTGTAGGAGTGTTCTCCACCCACATTGACTACAGATTGGTCTCTCAGAAACACAATGATGAGAAGTATGACCGAATTGACAACATTTGAAGCACTGCACCACCGATATATGGTCGGTCACCTTGCATCTAGTCCACAACAGGTTGACAGTCCAGAAAAAACTACTGGACTTCTGGAGTCGCCTCCAACACCCAGTTCAGATGAAAGAGGTTACGTTTGCCCACAGCAAACCGAATAGTGGTGCACTGCATAAACTCATCCATTGACATTGAATTAGAGATAAAATGATTCTGGGTATATATGACATCAAGATGATCATCTTTAACTAGACTCTTTGGAAACAATATCAGCATAATGTGAGGTCTTTTCAGCTTGTGAACAGTGAGTCGCAATTCTGAAATTCCAGTGACAGCAGAAGTGATAGCAGCTACATCACTATTAGTGACAAGGTCAACAGCCACTCCCCCATTTTGAATTCTACGGAGACCCTTAACCACAATACCAAGCTCATGAGGATTGACATGAGTGGTTAACATGCTTTTTGTGTATTCAGATGAATCAGGCTCAGTGGTATTGTAAATAAGAACGGTGTGACTAGGTTCAAGTTGGGAAGAATCAGTAGAATGCTGAGTGCCATGACGAGTAATGTCACTATAAAGTGGTGTGCTCAAACTTGAGTCAAAATCATCATTGTGAGGAGAAAGTCAACGACTGACCATCATCAAGGAATCTTTAGTGTTTTTAATAGCTGTACAAAGAGCTGCCTGAGATTCATCAAGTGTACAAACATCATCTTTGGTAGCCAAGAAGTCCAAACATTCACAGACCTGCATGACCTCCTCACTAGTGGCTAGAGCACCCAAACAATTGTGCATGGAATGCAAGATGGGGTTCAGTGTTTCACCCTCAGCCAGGTCAATAATCTTCTGAACCTGGGTAATAATGAAAGAATGGTGTTCACGAGCATCACATTTGGAGTTGTGGTAACTAAACAAATAGCCCTTAAGTTCTTCAAAGAGCTTATTCGCCTCAGAATGAAATTTCAACCACAGGTTCCGTAGCCATAATGGAGGGGGAACCCCAATAAAAAAGACACTATACTAGTGCACGTTTAAGCTGAAACAAACAAGTACATGTGAAGTCAGAAGAAAACTAGTTCCAAGTGATGTAAACCACTCATAAATGGCTGTGGTCCTTCCATAAACTTAAATCAGCACAAAAGTCCTTGAAGTTCCCGCTTTCGCCAAATGTTGGCTCGTGCACGCCAAAAGTTGGTCCGGTTACCACAGCAACCAGACTGTTGTTATAGCAACTGCTGCTAGACCGTTAAACTTTATAAGTGAGGAAATTCTTAAAAGTTTATATTGCTTTAGTTAAAAAACTATTAACACTATATTATTGAAAACTAGGCATAGCTATGCTGACTAACTCTTTTTAACGATGGATATTAAAATTTATAGTTAGCACCAAAAATAGGCTCGTTGCAGCCTCCAAAGCCTGAGTATGGTCAGCATAAAAATCCCAAAAAATCACAAAATATTGGTCTCAGGACCCTAAGAATTCAAGAAGTACTCACTGTCTGTTCTAGAAGAGTTGTAACCTTCACGTCCAGTGGATCAGCCATCGAATTCCGGATGACCAGACCCTAATAATCCGTGAGTTCAAACATTCACATCTCTCCAAATATTTGAGCCACGCTCAAAAATGATATCACTGTAATCCTTACACTTTGACAAATCCAACTATATATAAATTATCCACTATGACACAAGAAATCCACTGTAAAACACTAGGAAATTCCGAGCACACACACACACACACACTGCCAATCGTAATCAACGTTCCACCGATCACCCACTGTACGTTCTTTCTCTTCGAACTTTGAATTATCACTGGCTGTTGCTCAAAGAATATTGCTGTCTATTCAAGCACGTTTTTACCTTTGCCACTTTACTTATAATATGTATTTAATAAGAAAAATGATGATGGCACTCTGTTGTTTATGGAATAAAGCTCTGTTTTCCTGCACTTGTGATTGTGTAGAGACAGTTTAGATTTTATCTTTTTACTCACTCAGATACAAATTTTTAACCACCGTGTGTCATCTATAATTTTCTGAAGTCTTTTGAGTAATTTATAAAAAGTCTTGCTTAAATACTGTAGAAATTCATATTTGATTTTTTTCTTTGTAGGCCAGCGATGAATTGAAGCAACTGAATTTACCTCTATCATCTGGTGGTCCAGAGGGAATATGCAAAACCATTCGGCCATCTCCTGGATTCTGTATCAAGACAAAAGACAATGAGGATGGAAAAGTGTTCTTAAATGTCTGCCATTCTCCAGAGGTAAATTTTTTAAAGACTTACTAATTAATAGTTGACTTATATCATAATACATATGACATTTGTGAACTGTTCGTGATCTTCATATATAAGAAATAATAATAATGTATAATAAGTGTATAATATTGTACCTTATTTACTTTTAAAATTGGCTAAATGTTAAGAGTTGAAACTAATATGCATTAAGATGTTAAGACATAAAAGATAAAAACTTGTTTTGTATGTTAATCGAGGTGTACTTTTTGCAGTTACCAGAACCTCGTGAAATTGATGAGGATTTACTAGTCTCTATACTTAATTCGGACGATCCCACTACCTATCGTATTCCTATGAGTCTGGGTGAATGTCGAGAAGATAAAGATAAAGGTAATTTATGTATTTGTAAAATTAGTATGTTTGTCAGAAACAAAGAAAACTTGAAATAATGAACTTCACTATTGTTTATATTTATTGTATTATTAAATTTCAAATTTACTATAATAATGGTAAATTTGTTTTAGCTTATCAAAATTGAATAAGTTTCCAAAATAATTTTTGATCAAATAGAAAATTAAAATACTGTATATGCTAGTGTATAAACTTTTAAGCACAATTTCATTGTGGTAATAAACTATGTAAACTATTAATATTATAATGAAAGTTTTCATTTTGGTTTGAATATAGACTTTTTGTACATAAGTGTTTTTAAGAAGAGATCTTACTGGAGACTTTCAGTAGCCACTTGATGCCCTACATCGATATTATCATCTAGATCTCTTCTTGTATTATCTATATAACACAGTGTGTTTCAAAAGTATAGGCACATCCAGTTTTTTAACATTTTTAAACTTAATTGGTAATATGTTTTGAAATTATCTTAAACAGTTTTACAAGTATTTCATATAATGCCTTCAAATTTTATAAATAACAAAGGAAAAATGTTACCAGATTTTCACATTTTGACTGTTACATAAATATAAGCATAGGACTTTCATAACAATGAGTTAGTGATTCTAAGCAAATTGTATATGTCAAACTTAACAAAACAGTAGTTTAATACTTTGTAGCCTCTGTTTTGGCCAGAATAGTTTTACAAGTTTTATTTGGCATAGAATGTATTAAGCTTTTCAAATACAGTAATACCCTGAATTTACACAATAGACCGCAATTTGACAATAAATCGCTATTTGACCAAGCGATAACCGCATAAGTCAAATTTGCATAAGTCGGGGTATAATTTTGCAATTTGTGTAAAATCCAAGTTGGGTGTATGTAAGCTAATAAATGTTCTCGTTAATCTTATCTCATCTTTTGATTTGTTCACGGTTACAAGAAATCACCACATAGAGTCTCTCAAGTATCCGTAGATATAACAAACACAGAAATAAATAACACAAAATAAATTGTAGCTATGTGTCAATTCCACACAACACGTTCGAACATGTAAGCCAAACAATAGTGTGGGGGGAATGAGTAATCAAGGGTTGCATGGTGCTCAAACAAAAGACGAATCAATGAGATTTGAAAATTGCATAACTCCGGGTTTGCGTAAGTCGAAGTATTACTGTATTCATCTTCAATTTCTTCTTTCTCTCAATTTCCAGCATTCACTGTTTAAAAAATGTTATTGGCTACATTCAGTGGTTAGTGTCAGTTAAGCAGATTATATCGAACATCTGTAGCAGATTCAAAGTTTGGAATAATGATGATGAATGAAGACTTTCTTTGACATAATTGTTTTTGTATAAATATATAATATATTTTCAAAAATATTAATATAGTTTTAACAAATTAAATTACTAATTACAAACAGATATAAATGAAAAATAAACTTATTTGATGAAATGTAAATTTATATTATTAGATATATTAAAAAGAATACATATATATTATTTATTGGTTGCTGCTATTTTTTAGGGGATTTCTAATATAGAGTGCCATGCCTTAGATATGGGTATAGATTTTTTATTGAACTACTATTTGAAAAAATTATAGACCTATAAATTCCCACTGTCAACTGTTGTCCGTCTGTCTTTCCTTAATGTCAAAAATGGAATTAAATGGATAAAATCTGAGACCATATAGGGAAACCTCAGGCATGAAGTTCGATTAACTATATATAAACTTCCCATGCAAACCAGCAGTCATATTTCAATTCAGAAATTTTCCTCCGAAAGTAGTTAATAGATGACCAGTATGACTCCATTGCTAATAGAAATGTATGAATTTACAAGGGCAAGACACTACAGTACTAATTTGAGGTGGAGAGCATATATTTTAAATGAAATAAATTAAACATATGATTAAAAATTGCAGCCTGGCATTGTGGTGATGTCACAATAAATAATTGCTTGTTGTTAATGTTGTGGCAAATATTTCAAATGCCTCCATGATTCTTAGTTTATGGTTATCAAATGTGTGTTTTGAAAGCTTTGCTTCTGTCCATCATGGAGACACCTCTTGCTCACTTGCATATTGTGCTACAAAAAAGGGAGCTTGTTGGTGGAATAGAGATCTGGCTAAGTTGAGACAACAAGTAAGGGCAAAATTAAAGAAATTTCAAAGATGCTCGGACTCTACTCAAAAAATTGAACTTAGAGAAATATACAGACAATCTCTTAATAATTATAAAACACAAATTAACAAAGCACGTACTGAGGCTTGGAAGGTATATTGTACAAGAATGGGAGAGCTATCAGTGTGGTCAGATCCTTACTACATTATATGCAAACCTAGGAAAAATATTAGTATTCCAATTAACCTTAATAAAGAAGACGGAAGCTACACTAAAACATACCAAGAGACAATGGAACACCTAATGGACGTTCATTTTCCGCCAGATGATGTCTCAAAAGACAATAACCAACAAAAACATATCCGAAGTAAAATAAAAGACATCTTAGACAACGAGGATGATTGTTACTTCACTTACAAAGAAGTTAACAAAGCAGTTAAATCAATTAAAAACCGTAAGGCGCCAGGCTTAGATGGTATAACACCGTTAATGCTCAAAAATGCATTTAAAGCTATTCCAACAGCCTTGGTATACATTTATAATAGGTGCTTACAAGAAGGGATTTTCCCCGAAAAATGGAAACAAGCCAAAGTTAAATTTATACCTAAAGGAGACAATGAAAATATTACTAGAGCGGATAAATTTAGACCAATAAGTCTTCTTTCTGTACCTGGTAAGGTTTTGGATGGTCTTATCATAAACAGGATAAACTTTTTCCTCAATAACAAAAAAGTATTAAATAATCAGCAATATGGTTTCGTTAGAGGTAAATCTACATATCATGCCATACACGAGGTTATGAATTATATAAACGAATCTTGGAGAATAGGAGAACATGTTTTACTCATAGCTATTGACTTTAAAAATGCATTTAATACGTTGTGGTGGCCCGCCTTGTTAAATCAACTTAGATGCTTCGATTGTCCTAGAAATCTTTACAATATTCTACTTAATTATCTCGATAATAGGACTGCGGGGATTTATGAATTTGGTAGTAGTATTGTCCGTACCTTATCCAGGGGTTGCC